AAAATTAGAAATTCAAATCAGAATTCACAATATACAAGGTTTATAGATTTTAGTAGTAGTAATAATATGAAGGAAAAAGTTTTGAAAACAGATGAAAACAGTCTTCAAATATATTCTAAAATCAGCATCTACATCTGTTCCACAACTATATATCTATTCTTATACATAGCTAGACTCTCAATTCGATAAATTATTATTTAATATAATAAAATAAGAATCTATCCTATCTTTGAAAATAAAATTTTCTTATAATAAAACCACCTCCACCTTAGCGGTCTTCGCCTTCGACTATTTGGTCTTGGAGCAGGTTGCGTTGCAGAGCCGGAGTAGTTGTCGTCGTTGTAGATGTTGTGGTTGTTGCCTTATACAACGCATCATTTCTTAATAGATTAATGCAATTTTTAAACTTTTAGTATGCAAAAATAGTTTTTACACAAAGCCTTTATTATTTGAGTTAGTTTAATTAGTTATAATTTGTGTTAGTTGGAAGAGAAAACCTATTTGACTGTACTATGATTTTTGATTTTACATTATTAAATAACGATGGAAGCAATTTGTATATTTCAGGTTAATTCTAATTGATGTTGTGTTGATAAAGGAATACAAAAATGTATTTTAGATACTTTTAAATCTTGTTTTGTTTACATTTATGTATAATTGATACATTTATGTATAATTGATATACTAGATTCATTCTTAGAAATATTACTGGCAAATTTAATGATAACTGATAATTTCAAATGGTGAGCTAGTATTTCGCAATTTGACATTTAATATGCGAATTGTATAAACCAATGTATTGTGTTTACCAAGATATACCATACACACACACACTCACACACATATATATATATATATATATATATATATATATACATATATATATATGAATATTGTTCATATTTTTTATTGTGATAATTCAATTTTAGTGCAGTCAAAAGGGATTCTTATAAATTCAGTAACTGCAGCTATTTACTTATAAAAACATTAATTATCCGTTAGGTATATATTAAAAATTAAGAACGACAGAGAATTTACCTGCCCCAATATTTGTGTGAATTAGCACAGTCTACTTCTGAAGCAAAATGACATATGAATGTTTTTTGGTCAAATGCTGTGAAATTTGCACATAGAAAGTCGTAACGCGTTCCATACAGGCAGTGGTGGTATAGCTGAAATTAAAATAAATGTTTATATATATATATATATATATATATATATGTGTTTCAACGTCGAAATATATATATATATATATATATATATATATATATATATATATTATGTATAATCACATTACTCTGTCAGTCAAACCAATTAAGAAAATAATTTATTGCAATAAATTGAACTCCATTTAACAACTGGTATTCCTCAAGATTTATTTAGTCATTTCATTTTTTTTAGTTTTTAAAACAATCAGTATATATAAGGAGTTATTTCAAGTTAACAAAAAGCTAGTAGAACTATGGGCCAAATCTGGAAGGCAAGGTTATTTGGAATGCAATTTAAAAAAAAAATCATCAAATTATAGAAAAAAATTGTTTAGCGGTAACAAGAAATGTTAACCAAAGTTTTTTATTTGATTTTGATATATTAGGTAGCAGTGATGTCGACTTATTAATACTTGGAAATTTCTATAAATTGAAGTAATGGTGATTTACTTTCATGACCAGATTAGACAGATAATCTTATCTTCATTATTATTTAAAATATCATTATTACATGGCAAGATTCATAATACGGATATCATTCTGATGAAAATACTAACCATTATTTTGTACTCTATTTTATTTATATTTATGTTATTAGTCACTTATGTTACTATTTAGCAGTTATAACAGATATTGTAATTGAAAAAATGGCAAGATATTTATAAAACTAATAAAACGTGGGCTAGCACCACGTTCGCACCAACTAATCCTGGGTTCGCTGGTTCGATTCCCGCTACCGCCAAAGCCCGACATTAGGCAATTTGGATGTCAAATTTCCACTTGAGATTATAAATCCCTTCCACTTGAGGTATTATATATGCATATATATAATAAAAATGTCAGCAAATACTTTGAGTATAGTTAATTAGTCATAATTGGATTGAATAACTACTGGATTGCCCTTCATTCAAAAGTCCATATGATAAAGTCAAAACAATTACTGAATGTCCTAAGTGTGACAGATTGTAATTAAAAATGTTAAAAAGCAGAAAAAAAGAGAAAAGAAAATAAAACGTGAACATAAGAAAGAGTACAACGAAAGCTAAGCTCTCTCTCTCTCTCTCTCTCTATATATATATATATATATATATATATATATATATATATATATACAGGGCCGGTCCTGGGGTCCTCAGCGCCCGCATGCAAGATTTGTTCTAGCGCCCCCCCCCCGCCAATAATTTTAACTGTTTTAACACTTATTATTAAAATTATATAAATATTTACGTAAATTCTTTAATTTGATTTTTAACACTTTCCACTCGCGAATTTTCGGCATCCGAGTCGAAGGGGTTAATTCTCATTCTGGATTTAGTACACAAAAAAATAAATATAATCTAAAAGCTTATAAAATACATTGATTCTAATTTTATTTAGAAAATCGAAGCGATTTGCGGGTTGACCATAATCAAATATTTTACATTTTCAAGTATTTTTAACATATTAACAGATTTTGAAGCATAAACAGATTTTTTTTTTATTATTTACAATATCCAAAATTGCATCGTAAACTTCTTATTGTATTCATATTATTGGACCGAATTGTATTCATATTTACTTTCCCATCTAATTCAGAATATCGGATTGTTGTTTTAAAAAAAAATCCACATTAACTTCAAACGAGAAGAATTTAATAAGTACATTAAACAATAAGCAGAGCAATAATTTACTAATTTGCAGAGTAATGAATTGTTTCTACTGATATGACATTGCAAACTGAATATGCTTTTTTTGTCTACGTATCCATTAAGTTAGATTGTTAATTAAAATCTATTAAGTATTCTAGATTTTATATAAAAAAAGTGAACAATATATTATAAATTTCATTTCCGAATCTCGTTTTGGCGCCCCCTAAGGCGTGCGCCCGCATTTTTTGCATGCATTGCATGCAAGGCAGGACCGGCCCTGTATATATATATATATATATATATATATATATTAAAAATAATAAATAATTTATATCGACCATCCACTTACTATAAAAATAAGTAAACACACGCAAGGAATGCAAACAAATCGTGATCGATCAGTGGAACGGGTAAAATATTACTTGATATTATCAAGTACTAAACTAGGTCAATAATTCTGTCTGCAGTTTCAAAAAATTATACATTAATATAATTATTTAGTTCATTTATAAAGTTTCGAACCTTTGTTTGTTGTAAGGGTTAGATTACAACAGAAAAATATATTGTACACTTAAATATCTGATCTTTTTCCTTGTTCCATAGGACAATTATAGAGTGGTTTATTTTTGTGTTCTTGTTTTGCTTCCTTTAAGCACAAAACAACGATTTAGAAAATTATTTAGATTGTTTCATCGTTAACAGCTACTGAACGGACCTGACACAACTCATATTTGTCTTCGGATCAAATCCTGTCAATGACTTAGAATTTATGAAAGAAATATATGTAGTTAATTTGAAATCAAATAAAAATTGTATTTGTTAAATAGAATTTGAATAAAAAAAATTAAGAAAAATCGGAATAACAGAATTCGAATAGTTGAGTTGAATTAGGAGTAAGTAGAGGAATATTGGAACTTGAGAATGAAGAAAAAAAATGAAATGAAGCTGAAAGTTAAATAGAATTAGAAATTTGAAAAAAAGCAAGAATTGAAGAAAATAAGAAAAAGAAAAATTGAGAAGAATATAGAATAGCATACATAAATAGATTGAAAATGATCTAAAAATTAGAATGTAAATAAATAAAAATGTTGTAGGTGGCTAAATGCTCAGGGTAAGTGAGGTCAAATAAAAAATTAAGAAAAAAATAAATATATAATATTATATACTCATATTTCAAGACTTTTTAATCATTATCAATAGAAATGTATAATAATAAAAAATACGCTTTCAAATAACTGAAAATTACAATAACAAATTAGAATTCTCAATAACTTATCAGAGTGATAAATGTTGACGCAAGGGTCGACACACTGTATATCGTCACATAATTTTGGGTTATCAAATTTGGAATTTTCAATATTTGAAAAAACACTATAAAATTAATTGTCAAATGATCTATAAATCACCACTTTGATGCAAGAGTGAGTCGCTACCAGAAAATCGTCTTTGCACAACTACTGATTAGAAAATACGATCACGAAGGCAGATTTGATAGGTGAGACTTGGCCGATGGCCGATTTCTTGCGACTAGACTTCTTGAGGATAAAATCCATAATAAAGACTGAAATTGATGTTGTCACGTATAATCTCCTGCTGTCTTTAAGGAGTCATTGGCAACATTTATTCATTTTTAGTCCAAGTCTCATAAATAGAACATATAATCTTTTACAATTTATATAGCAGTTGTAGATTGATATACTAAAAACGTATACATTTCATATTTGAACAATAATTTTATTTATTGATTTATTAGTTACCTGACATTTATATGCGACGCTAGCATAAAATCCGTCGTGAAGGCCATTACATTTAAATGAGATCTGTTCACTGGGAGGAGTTGTCACCAGGAATGGATAATCAGTCAGATTATAACCATTTAACTCACGTGGAAGATTTGGATCCCAGATATAATCAATTTGTGGAATACCTGTAAGTGGCGGCTTCGTCGAACTTGATGGTGCAACTGTTGTTTGCTGTAATGGTAATAAGTTTTAACATTTTGAAATACGCCAAAACAATTGTGTTAAAGTAACTGATGACTGTGTTTATAAAGACTATTCGAAGAAATATATTATAAGCTATGTTATAAGTAAATGATTGGAATTTACCTCATCATTTTCAGCATCTGTAGAAATTTCGGTTGTTGTTGTAGTGGTGGTCGTTGTAGATTTTATAAAACTTTTGGCTGCTGTGCATAAGTGTAGACAAGTGATTAATACTGAAAGAGAAAAAAATAAGTTTAATATAATTGATAATCTTATCGTAATTGATGATAGCCCGCAAAGATCTATCTTAATATTGTTTATTTGTTGTAAAATATTAGCATTTTCTTTTAACTCGATATATTGATTATCTCCCTTTCCTTTTCACTTTTTTAAAGAGATACAAAAATTTTGTTTTATAAGTGATTATTTAATTTAGAAAGAATTGACATAAGAAAGATTACATGCATGCTTGTGATGTCCATTAAATTTCATAGTATTTAACGGATTTTTGTCACATTAGGTTTTTTATCTGTAAATGAAAGACATTCAACGTAAATTTTTCTTATATGTATGCTAATTACAAATATGAAAGTATTTGTAATTAGTGATAAATTTCAATATCCCGACCAAATTGAAAAAACTATTTGTGAGCTGATTTTTGAGGGTTTGTCGACGTTTTCTCAAAAATGACTGCACAAATTTAAAAAAATTCGTTATTCGATGTAACTTGTTAGCGTCTATCAATTTTGCACGACGATCGACCAAGCCCTTTCTCCATAATTAGCAGAAAAGTGCGTAAAAATTCGTCAACGTTTCTGCCAAAAATCCTAAAGCGATTTCAGAAATTCAAAAACTGTTTGAAAGATATTTGCGAATCGAATAGAAATTTGTCGTTATTTTTTTTAGTAATTTGAATAAATCTTTGTATGGTTATAGAATTCCTGGTCTTAATCTAAAGTATTAGAGACAAGCTGTTTAACTAAAAAAAATAGCCTTGAGGCAAGTTACATGAACTTCCCGATATGTGTAAATAATCGACTTAATCAATAATAAACGATTTAATTTATGAGTGATTAGAACTATTCCGAGTGAATTTATTACACATAATTGAAAACGAACGAACACGTTAACTCGGAGTATTTTCTAAAAACAAATTTTCACAAATCAATAATTTTTATAATTGAACCAGTTTTTGTAGGACGTTAATGGTTTAGTATGTTCATTAAGACCAAGTAATACCAAGTAAATCATCTAATTTTAATTTTAACAAACGTCAACAATACTACTTATTTTCTCAAACTTTGATGAATTTTTAAAATTAAACTACTTGTCGTAAGGCCGTTATATTCCAGTAAGTTCTTTAAGACTATGATATACATCGCCAAAGAAAGTTTCATGAAAATCGGCTTAAATTTTTTTTTCAACAGTTAATTATAAGAAAACGGCTCGGTAGATTTTCACCTAAAACTAATCAGTATTATTCCCAACAAATATCTTTCGAATAGTTTTTGATTTTCTAAAATCGATTCGAGAGAATGAGCTTAAATGTGCACGAAAAGTTTAACACTCTTTTTCAAATTACAAAGAAACGGCTCGGCAGATCGTTTCACAAAACGGACAAACAATAGTCCTCACCGAGATACATCGAATGGCTTTTAAATTTTTTAAATCGGTCCAGCCGTTTTTAAGAAAACGTCGATTTACGGCAAAAAATCTGTTCACATACACGCACACACATACACGCACACACATACACGCACACACATACACGCACACACATACACGCACACACATACACGCACACACATACACACACACATACTTTTGCCAAATTTGATCTCATTCGATTTAGAATGGCTTGAAACGTCGAGAAAACATAAAATTAGCGAATCGAATTTTTTTATGGAAACAAACTTCTCCTTCGGGAAGTTAAAAATAATATTTGTTTGGATTATTCGGCCGCGCTTTTAATAAATACTCTGTGTAATTCATAAACCACTTGTCAAAAATAAGTAACATGTTTGTAAACTTTGTGCAAAATTGAATGATCTGCAATGGTTATTTGCAATATAATGTTGGTATACTTATAAATAACTCATAAATTAATATATTGCTTTCTTATTAACTCAATTATTTAAACACGTCGGGAAGTTCACGTAGCTTGCCTTAGGCAAAATTGCCACTTAAACTTGTTTTTTATATTTATTAATAACAATATTAACTTCTTCTACCCTAAAGTTTCACAAATCCTTTATTTGTTTTAGCTGTTATTTTGAAAGTTAAATCAAAATAATTGATTTAGAAAACATTATAAGCAAGTCGATGATATCCATTAAAAATCTTGCATATTATAATTGATTTTTCTCTGTTTTTTCTAAACCTTAAATTTGACATTGAAAATATTATTAATTTCTCTCTATTTATATATAACTCTTGATTGAAAGTATTTAAATAAATAATATTAATTCCTTTCTCGTGACGTTAAAGGCCTGTGTGGAAATATAACCTTCATTACAATCACTTGGGACCAGTTATTGGTACTTCCGCGTTTGACATAGGTTCGAAATACAGAAACAAGTGGGATCGGCATGGGCAAATTATTGCATTTTTAAATAATAAATAAATATTATTACAATATTATAACATTCGAACAAACATTCGAAACCCCACTTTCTTCAAAAAAAAAAAAGTTTAGAATGAACCTCACTCGTCCGTCGCTCTATTGCCATTATTAATTGCAAAATCGCTCTATTGCAATTAAAATTAATTTTTGTACGCTTCAAAACTTGAAACTTATCTATTTGTAGTTGTACGCAAACTTATTTAAAGTATCAAATCCTTTATTTTGAAAGACAAAAATAAACCAATCATAACAGTACCCATTGCACATATTTTTATTTTTTCAAATATTAACTATGATACTGACTATTCTAGATTCTATCATAATTTCTTAATAATGTAATGGAAGTTAAATAGGAATTTTTCACTTATAGAACTTTTTAATTATGAAAATTAATCTTATTATTGATTTGATTTTTTTTTTTCCTTAAATTTCAATTTTTGTTAAACATTTTGTTTCAATCTGCTATTAAAACATCTAGTAGTAATAGATAATTTTGATTAAAATACAATTACCATTGAAACGCCAGGCAAGATTAATAAATACAAAATTAAAAACAAAAATTCATAAAAATATGTAGAATCAAACACACAAAAAAATAAAATAACTAAAAATATAATATGCTATTGAAATTTAAATAATTAAAAACATAATAATAATAAAATGATAATAATAATAGAAGTAAAATAAAAGATTTATATATAAATCAAATATTATTTATTATTTTAAAAGTCGATTTTATTTATTAAGTCGATTATTAACTTTCCGTAGAGTAAGTTATAGTAAAAGCAAAAAAATCCAAAATGAATTTTCTTTAATATCTTTACGTTTCAGTGTTTTCTGAACATTTTGGGATACCTTACAAAAAATATATAGCATATGTGTATGTGCTATGTTTTGGATACAATTTTTCGTCCACGATATCGGGACCATGGATCAACCGATTTGAATGATTCAAAAAACATTCGATTGGTATTGACAGGAAACATGTTGATTAGTATTTGGCAAAGGCAGGTCCACCCGTTTCGGGGATATAGAGCAAAAAGTGCAAAAACAATCAGTTTTTGAGAGAAAAGCACATCTGATTAGAATGATTCACAAAACATCGTATCGAATAAGTGAACAATTGATTTCATTTTGTGAAGGTAGGTCCAGCGGTTTCGGAGCTAAAAGTTCAAAGAATAGCAATTTTTGAGAGAACTGCGCATTTGATTAGAGTGATTCAAAATGCATATTGCTTGCGTCGACTAGGTTTTGATTACTTTGTTTTCGTTCTTGTAGATTTTTTTTATAATTCATTAAATTATTTTTTGAACAACAATCAGAACCCAATAGTCCCATAAGCTGTTGTGCTGATTTGACTTAATTCTAGTCTGTTTTACAGATGGCAACCCAATCAGTTGTCACATCTCTATATGATATATTATTATTACAATTTCTGTAATAGGGCGAATATTTTTATTGGTGCAGCAATTCCGGGTAAAGGGCTATTTTCACTTGGAAACATATTACTATCTATATTTCCAAGAGAAAATAGCTGTCAATGCTGCCTGACAACAGGCTGCTCGAAGTGGGTATCGAACCCGGGACCTCTGTTTTAGGTCCAATCACTCTTAACTCTTAAGTTCTTGTAGATGAACATAGATAAAAGTGGTCGCCCAAAGATAAGCACTTATATTAGATCTACCGAATACGATGATGAATTTTACAGCATTTATAATAATTATTTTAAATATCTAAAACAATTGTTATTACACATTGATAAATTTATATTGATGATTGATTATTTTTATTTTGGAAATCGAACATTGAATTATCGAAATGGGATGCCTCCTGGTGAACGGACGGGCGAATAGACCGAGCGAATAAATCGAATTACTCTTTGAGTGTGGAACCCTGCAAACAATCACTGAGTCCAGTTAATTTATTTAATGCATTAATATCCGCAAAGGCTCATAGCATGTTCGTAAATTTTCGATGTCGCAATAAGAAAGTTGTTATGCAGTAATGCGGTCAATTCACAAAGATGTAAATATGACACGTGAAATAACCTGTGTGACGAAACCATTTTGCATATGTATGATTTTTTAATCTCGGTGGCGATTTATGGTAAATTTCAATTCTTCAATTGATGTATCAATTTGTTGAAATAATTTGAATAGATTAACATCTAATATATTCATCCAAATTTCAAATGACCTTTGAGGAACGTTTCTATCATACGAAAAGAAAAAAAATATTCAACTTGCTTATTGTAACATGATTTGCTCGAAATACATAAAGTGCCATAATATTAATAATCAATTTATGCGCCAAAATTGTAAGAAGACCTGTATTAATTTCTCAAAGGAGTTTGTACTTGCCGGAAAATTTGATTTCCGAATTTTATACTTTCTCGATATTTCAAGTCATTCTAAATCATTTGACAACAAAATTGAAAACAATATGTATGTGTGTTTGTGCATCTATTTCTATAATTTTAAAAACATTTGATGAAGCTGGATAAGGACTCTCGATGATTGAAGTTTTCCGAGACCATCGGATGAACCGTTTCTTCACAAGTAGAAAAAAAGCAAAATATTTTGTGTAGGTTTAGCAAAATAATCCTGAACC